CAACATCCGAATTATGGGGGTGCCAGAAGAAGAGAGAGAGCAAGATATTGAAAACCTATTTGAAGAAATAATGACAGAAAACTACCCCTACCTGATGAAAGAAATAGACTTACAAGTCCAGGAAGCGCAGAGAACCCCAAACAAAAGAAATCCAAAGAGGACCACACCAAGACACATCATAATTAAAAGGCCAGGAGCAAAAGACAAAGAGAGAATCTTAAAAGCAGCAAGAGAAAAACAGTCAGTTACCTACAAGGGAGTACGACTGTCAGCTGATTTCTCAACAGAAACTATGCAGGCCAGAAGGGAGTGGCAAGAAATATTCAAAGTGATGAATAGCAAGAACCTACAACCAAGATTACTCAGCAAAGCTATCATTCAGAATTAAAGGTCAGATAAAAAGCTTCACAGATAAGAAAAAGCTAAAGGAGTTCATCACCACCAAACCAATATTATATGAAACGCTGAAAGGTATTCTTTAAGAAGAGGAAGAAGAAAAAGGTAAAGATAAAAATTATGAACAACAAATACATATCTATCAACAAGTGAATCTAAAAATCAAGTGAATAAAAAGTCTGATGAATAGAATAAATGGTGAATATAATAGAATCAGGGGCATAGAAAGGGAAGTGGACTGACAATTCTCGGGGGGAAAAGGGTTTGGGGGGTGCAGGAAGAGACTGGACAAAAATCGTACACCTATGGATGAGGACAGTGGTCAGGGTAAGGGCAGAGGGTGGGGTGGGAACCGGGTGGAGGGGAGCTATGGGGGGGGGGGGAAGAGGAACAACTGTAATAATATGAACAATAAAGATTTAATAAATTTTAAAAAAAGAAATAAACATATATACCTGTTATCCCTTCTCCTTGAAAATAAACAAGCTCAGAATAGATCTTCTCTAAAGGTTGCATGGATAGAACATTTTTGTGTATAAGATACTGTTAACGTAAAAACATTTGAACCTGTAAGGAATTTTTGTGTTTATTTGAGTCAAACTGTCGACAATTACCAGGAAGCACTATCTCAATGGATTGGGATAATGCTCCAGAGAATGGTGGTTTCTCATCTATTTTTATACATTGAAATCAAAGGAGGGGAAGTAGGTGGGTTACATGAAATCCATTGGAGGTAGATTAGAGAGGTGGTTGAAAGCAAAGGCGGGGACGGGGACGGACCTGGGATTGGAGAAAAAGTGAAATGATAGATGGAGAGTTAACAGTCAGCAATTAACATGATAGCAACAATGAAGGAATTTGTGGTATCTGCCTTGGCGCCCACCCAGGCACATTAGGTTGTGCCCCAAGAGGTCTGGAAAGAGGGAAGTTGCAAATTATCCAAACATTTCAAGGATACGTTATTGTAGATGCAAAAAGGCAGATAGGCTCATTTAAGATAAAGGTTGACCTTGTCAGGAAAAATACCGGCCTAGGACTTGACTACCCACTATAACTGCTTTTAGTTAAAGTTTTAATTTCACATCATCCTTTGTGGTTACTTTAGGTCTTTAAGCTTGCAAGACTGCCATGCAGGCCTTCCCTGAACTTGTCAGGTTAGCATGTGGCCTCCCCCTCCCCCCCTTCACAATACTGTAAATTGTTTATTTATAAACTAGAGACCCGATGCACGAAATTCGTGCAAGGGGCTGGGCCCTCACAGCCCCCGATGCCTCGGCCCTTGCAGCCCTGGCTTCGTCCAGAAGGTCGTCCGGATGGTCGTTCTGCTGTTAGGTCTAATTAGCATATTCGCTCTTTATTATATAGGATGCTTATGAGAGAGATCTGGTAGGTGTGTGTAGTACAGAGTGCAATGAAGAGAGTCCTAGTCCTGGCCCTACTGCTATTTCACTTCACTGAGTTTTCTTATCTTAAGAAGGAGATTAGAGTAGATGTTCCTGTAGGTCCCATTCACATTCTCCTAAACTTGCACCCAGGTGGTGTGGGACTTATTACAGTGAACATGGAGAAGTCCCTCTTCTTAACAGCGAGGGCACTGTCAGGTAAACTGTGTGCCAACCATGTAAAAATGCTATTCCCTAAGTACTTTTGTTTCCTAAAAAATCAGGAACCAAACGAGGGAAAAGAAATTGCCCACCACACATCTTTTTTCAATCTGCAAAGAAACCTTCAGAGCAGATTTAAGCCTGGATCAACCTCTCTATATTAGTTTATATTACCTTCCATTTCTTTTTTAATAGCTGCATAGTACTCCATTGTGTAGATGAATAATGTTTTATTCACCAGATCTGTTATGTGTTGCTGACCTTGGGCTATTTCAAAGAGTGCCACAATAAATTACTGTGTGTTTTAATGAAAACATAAATTTATTTCTCTCTTAGGGTTCTGTGAGTAACGGGGATCAATTGATGGGATTCAGGGGTTCTCAGTTGGAGTCTCTCAGGCAATTGTAGATGGAAGGTGGGGCTGAAGTCTTTTCAGCCAGAGTACAAGGAGCTTAAATCAAAAGCATGGTGGCCCAAGGACAGTGAGTACCCTTCTCACTGTCCTCCTGGGTCAGAAGCAGCAACCAGCTATCAGAGAAAAGGTTCCCAGTATTTGGAGGACAGGGTCTTTTGCCCACCTTGGCTCCTGCAAGCTCTGTGCAAGCTGCTCCAGGAACAAGTGTATCGCCGCCTGTCATGTGACTGGGGTGGAGGAAGGGCAGCTGCTACTGAGCTGAGCTAAAATTAACCACAGTATACTGTTCAAGTCTTCCCCTGGGAGCTGGGAGCCTTCAGTAGACTCCAGAGTTCCAAAATAGTGACGTCAGGTAGATGCCGTAGTGCAGCAGTTGCCTAGGTGGGGAGACAGATTCTTCCTGCTCCGAGTCTTCCCAGAATTCTCTGTCTGTGCATATGTTATTTGTATTGTTGGGGACATACCTTCAGGGTGAGATCCTAGTAATGGGATTGCTAAAATAAATACAGACGTAATCTAGTTAGATATTGCAAAGTACTTTCTGTGGAGTTGTGCAATTTTACATTCCCTCAAGCAGTGGATGAAGTGCCTGTGTCCCGCAGCCTCACCAGCAATGCATTGTCAAGCTTTTGAGTTTTTGCTGATCTGGGATGAGTAATCATATTTTAATGTAGAGATAAACTAAAGCCCAAAGAGAGAAAACAATATACAAAACTGAATTTCTAGTTTAAAAAAATGCTTTAATACAGTGTGGAAAATAGTGTTCGAATATGAAGCTGGACAGTCAATGGGTCCATGCTGCCTGTTAAGCAGAGACAGGCTTGACTCCTATATGAGCATTTATTCCAATACTGCCAGCAGTATGGGAGAGCAGCAGGTCATCCGCAGAAGTCTGCTCTGCAGCCCCCCATAAGCCAGCTGCTCTTATTGGGTAAAACGAAGATTTCACGGGGAAGTAGGGATTACAGGCATGGGGAAGTAAGCAGTGCAGGCTGGGGTGGGACTCCATTGTTTGGGCAACAAGGTTGTTAATCTTTCCATGATAATAGGCAGTTCTTGAATGGGAATGGGCCACATTCCAAGGTTGACTTCCCAGGTCTAAGGTTGGCTCCCAGGTTCCCAGGGGCATACAACTCCCAGCCAGGTTAGATTGTTCTTTCTTTTAACCAGAACAAGGCAATCATGGTTAACAGAGCATGATGAATATTTCCCATAACCAAAGCTAGTCCCCAATATTCTATTTTTGTTTCTAACAACGCCATATATCTCTTTTAGGGGTTGAATACCTGGATTAAGTACCATGCCAAAACCTTTTCCTAATTTGTAGTTCTGCCTGCGGTATTACTCTAGTCTGACTCATTGGTTGCAGTGAGTTTCAGTCACACAAAGAAGGGAGGCGGTGCCCGTGAGAATGTGTGTACCACAGTGGAGAGTGCCGGCCTGAAGTTGGCCTCTGTCACCACCCATCTTACCAGCTGTTGTCTCCACAGCTCTTACGCTCTTCTGCACATCAGCCTCAAGATCGCCATGTGTGCTGAGTTCCTCTTTTTCCATAGTGTCTGTTCTGAGTTCAGCTTACACATGTGCCAGGATGGACACGCCATTCTCTCTTTTACCTAAATGTGACCTTTTGGCTTCAGCCCTTTGCAGCTCACCAGTGTCTTCTCTTGCTGTTTTTTAGTCACATTTAAAAAAAAAATCATTGGCTCAGGCCATCTTTTTGTGCCACTTCTGATTGTTGTTCTTAGCTAAACTGTAAAGTGGCTTTCTTGGATCAGGTGTCAAGCCCCTTAAGGATGTCAGGGAGGGAGCAGGAGAGCAGCAGGGAAATAGCAAGGAACCATGGATGGGACAGTGAGGGGCAGGATAGAGCTGAATGCATAACACATTCTCTCTCTCAGTATACCGTTTATTTTTTCAATAGAGTACTTCAGGCAAATACTTAGTAGTGCAGATTGAATAGTGTAGGAAACTAGCTAATATTTAGGTGTCCAGATTGCCTGAGAAGTATGCTGCTATTTTCTGTTCCCATTGTGACTTCAGTAGCATGGTGTGGCAGAAAGGCCACTATACTAGAGGCCAGCAGTCTTAGATTCTGGACCTGAGTTTGCTGTTCTGAAAGGCTGCACTTTCTTCACCAGATAAATCTTTAAAAGTGGAGTAGTTTCTAAGGTACTGCTAGGTCTAGCTAAAAAATCTGTGACTCAAATTGTTCTATACCGAGCTGGGGAAGGTAATTTCCACAGCACAGTTAGAATACAATCATAAGTTCAGGTTTATGTAAAAAAAATGAGAATGATATGAGAGCGATTGGGCCCTTAAATTAGAAAAAGATAGGGGAGTTTTGTAGTGAACCAAATTCTCCTCATTTGAACTTGTTTTATTGGAAATGGGATGATCTTCATAAACTGATTTAAGTTGGATATTACAGTCACAAACTGTAATATCCCAAGTTGTACATAAGTAGTATAGTATTATAAATGTAATATTAAAGTTTGAAATGCTCTTTATCTTCCATGCTTGTAAAAAAATCATAGTTGGATATTCAGAATAGTTAAGTAACATGGTTCTCTTTTACTTTTTAGGATTTAAGTGCCCTGTATGCTCAAAATTTGTACCCTCAGATGAAATGGATTTACATCTTGTGATGTGTTTAACAAAGCCAAGAATAACATATAATGGTAAGTCCTGTGCTTTAATGTTTTAAATGAGGATTGCTTAGATTTAATGAACTTCATGTTTCAGGTAACATTTAAAAGGACAGGAAGCACCACCATGAGCCTTGGAGGCCCACTGGTGCTCTAATTAGGCCTGGTGCTTTAAAGGGTTGTACCATTATTTCCTGACCACAATGTCTCTAGATATTCAAAACCCTGGGAGAGATTTTCCATATGGTTTTGGTACATTTTGAAATAGACTTGAAAAAAAAATCAAATAGTTCACTCCTGACTTTAAATAAATGGGATAAAATAAAGGAAAAATGAGAGCTTTTCCCAAAATTGCATGAATAGAAGGACAAACTTCAAAAGTGTATGAGAAATTTTAGATTTTTCAGATGTACAATTTGGTTTGAAATAGAATAAGTCGGAAGAGTACCAGTAAACAGTGAATCCAATTGAAAGGTTGACTTAATTCAACAAATGTTTTGTGAATACTCTCAAGGTATGGTGTTAGGAACTTGAGATGAAACTGACTAAAACAGAGATGGATCCTACAATCTGGGATCCATCCAAAGGATAATCAACGTAGGAGCATTTAACAATCTGGGATTTCTACTCATTAAAAAAAATGTTGGGAGAGGTAGAATTTAACACTGAAATGGACATGTTACTTTGAGTAGCTTTTTTTTTTTTTTTTTTTTTTTTTTTTTTTTTTTTCAAATTGGTTTAGGAGTCTCTGATAAGATAGTGTTTCAGCCACACTGTTATAGTGGTGACAGTAGAGCACTTTTTCCCATTCATTTTCCGTGAGTAAGTAAAAAGTAGGGTTTAGTAAATGTACCTGTTGATTATATCCATACCTTTTTATATTATGAAATTGAATTGGCTACTTTGCATAATCTAGTTGAATTTCAGTTACTTAAGAAATAAAAAGCATTTCCATTTTACCTCAAATTTGAGGTAAAAGTGATTGGGCTTGTTTCTTATACTTACTCCATTATCTTATTGTTACTCTATTATTATGTTTATTATTGGTCTCTTTAAAGTAAATATCCTTAAATCTTAATACTCTGGCCTTGAACTTTAAAAGCACAAATGTATTTCTTTTGACCATGTGAAATAGTTGTACACAGTCTTAGTATTCTGTACATTTACTTTTTGTATAATATATTTAGAAAACAGTCTTTTGTGTGTCAATATTTGGCTAAAGTCATTAAAGTTTTCTATATCGCTTATTTGATATCTTAACCAATAGGTAGTCTTCTGCTTGGGGATACTGTAAACAAAAGATTTAGGTGAGTCAGAATCTTTAAAACAGACCCTTTTTAGTCACCTGGACTCCTCACAGCTTTATATTTGAATTCATAGAAGTTGATTCCTTAGAGAAATATGCATCTAAATTGTGTTAAACAAAATTCAGCTGAATACATTTGAAGATCTAATTGACTTTATTCAGTGATTCAGGAATCAGGCAGCATCCCATCTAGCGGATACTGGGGCTGTACATAATGAAGGGCTTTTATAGGCAAAGGTGGGGCCAGATAAGAAAGTTGTTAGGAAAGAGCCAATAGTTTCAGGCAAGGTCATCTTTCTTTGCAGCGGTTCTCAACCTGTGGGTCACGACCATCGGAACACACAGATAGCATATCAGATATTTACATTACGATTCATAACAGTAGCAAAATTACAGTTATGAAGTAGCAACGAAAATAATTTTATGGTTGGGGGTCACCACAACATGAGGAACTATATTAAAGGGTCGCAGCATTAGGAAGGTTGAGAACCACTGCTTTAGGGGAAGATGGGTCTGTCTGACAGATTACCTCACTAGTGTTGATCAGCTAATTTCAGATTGACTGGTTATAGGTTACATTCCTGGGAGAGGCTGAAATTGCAATTACGTGAGGTATTAAGCCTTGATTTGCTGACTTGGGACTTAACACAAGTGACTCCATCTTTGGCCTGTTGTCTCTTTTTTGACAACTCAAAAGAGAATTTTATTCAGCATAGAGCTTATTAATTTATACCTTTTGAAGCCTTATCTAAAGTAGCTAGATCTGAATTTTTGAATTTTATTTGTTATATGTATATTGACTTAACTATACAAACATTCACAGTTAGCAAGGAGAACTGGACTTGTTTTTCATGCTGGATATATTTATAGTCAAATTCCAGAAGAGGATGAATTATAGAAATTTGAATATAAGTTGGTAATTTAGAGTTTCAAATTCATACTCATAGAGATGATAGTCTAAATGTTAGACTAGCCCACAACAACTTAAAAAAAAAATCTGTGAATATATCAAAATACCAAGTCCAGTAACTGAAGAACAGAATTGACTGACTAGGTGGAAGCTCCTCAGGGTTTAGGCAGCTGGCTCAGCAGAGGTTCAGATAGGAGGTCCAAAGTGATCACAGAGGGAGTGATTCAGAGTGTTGTGAGTGGTTATCTACTGCTGGTGGCATTTTGGCAGGATGGGAAAAATTTCAAAATGCCACAATGAGTGTCCGTCTGTATAGACTGCCCTTAAATCAGGGACTGCCTATCTCATATACCTTTCCCTCTTTCATGTACTTCCGTTTATGCACCTAGTAATTCATTGTGTCGTCTGTGAACATGATACAAATTTTATGAGCAAACTCCCTCTTCATTTCCTTGTCCCCCATCTTCTAAAATGTTTAAGAACAAACCAAAAACATGAGATAAATATTTTCAGCAAATTCTTAGTCTTGGTTTTGTTGGTTTTTAAACTTCACTGGATCTTAGCATGTTTTGTGTCTATTATAAAATTCAGTTTTTATTTTAGAATTCTGTGATTGAGGGCAGTAAGTAAGATTTATATTTAAGAAAACTTTGTTTTATTTTTAATTGGTATTATTTGTGTGTGTGCACTTGTACCTGGAGGAGGAGTAGCTTGAAATAAGTTTGTCTTCTGAGAATTCATTATAAACTCATGTAGTGAATCAAAGCAGAGCCTTTTCAAGTCATCAGAAAGAAGTAAGATGTTACTCTTACTCTGTTAAATTGACATATTTGAAGAAATATGTATTGAGCCATTTGGAAGGGAACTTGTTCTGTAATGAAAGTGAGTTATAAGGATCCCACCTTGTGTGCTGTCCTTGGGAGAAAGCGCTGTCACGCTCACTGGAATGTGGAGGTAGATTGCAGCGGGCGCTCTATTCCAGTGTGCTCCTGAGCCTTCAGGTGGCCTGGCTTTCCATGTGCGCTGGTGCAGGCGGGAACATGCTTTCTCCCTCTGTCGATACTGTCTGGCTTTTCAGCCAGTTGTGGTTCCCATTTTAAGTTATAAACTTGCTTTCTGTCTTACATACTACATTTTCTTGGTTTTAAGACACACATCCTTTACCCACACACACACATTTTAATGTTTCTGAATTCAGGATGTTTCCTGAATGGGCATGTCTCTTATAAGTGAGGTTAAAAAAAAATTGCCAGCAACCACAAAGCAGAATTTTAAATAAGGAGGTGGTTATTGCCTGAGTTTCTGTGAACTTGCCCTTCTATGGAAGATTTGTTATGTATTTTATTTTTTTTGTAAGAGAACATTTATTTGATAAATTATAGAGGTAGAAGAAGTAATTTCTAGAAGAAATGTGCTTAGGGAAACAAGTTATAGAGGTAAAGGAAGGGCCAGTGGAGCTTGGGAGTGAGGAAGCTAATAATTACAGGCCTAGAGAGGTGGGGATTGGGGGGAGGTAAGGGAAAGGGAAAGGCAGGGATGTGTTCCCTGGAGAGAGAGTGCCAGATTTCTGTTATTTGATTTGGTGCCTGTGTGCATTTATTTGCATTGGTGATTTCTGTGGTTGAGTTTTAATTGTGATTCCTGGTTGCAGTTTTAAATGACTTCATAGATTATAGGGCGTCATTGAAGTGAAGTGATTTTTTTTTGTACTATAAATTGGCTGTCAAGCCATGAAGTAAAAAAAATAATTCAGTAGAAAGTGTCACATCTCTTATTCCATATTATGGAAATTTCAAAGTAGACAATGTCCCAGAAGAGGTTGGCAAAAGTATTCTAAAACCTACATGGGACTTCTATAGAAAAATAGTTACCTTCTGTAAATGTACCACAGCTTCTTCTTCTTCTTCTTTTTTTTTTTTAAATATATTTTTATTGATTTTAGAGAGGAAGGGAGAGAGATAGAAACATCAATGATGAGAGGGAATCATTGATTGGCTGCTTCCTGCACACTCCCTACTGGGGATTGAGCCTGCAACGTGAGCATGTGCCCTTGACCAGAATCGATCCTGGGATCCTTCAGTCCACAGGCCAATGCTCTATCCACTGAGCCAAACTGGATAGGGCTACCACAGCTTCTTTATCCACTCATCTACTGATGGGCACTTGGGTTGCTGCTGATGGGCACTTGGGTTGCTTCTAGATATGGCCTATTGTAAATAATGCTGCAGTGAACATAGGTGTGTATATTCTTTTGAATTAGTGTTTTGGGCTTCCTCCGTCAAATTCCCAGACATGGAATCTATGAGTCAGAAGGCAGTTCCATTTTAAATTTTTTGAGGTAACTCCATACTGCTTTCCACAGTAGGTGCACCAATCTGCATTCCCACCTGCAGTGCACGAGGGTTCCCTTTTCTCCACATTCTTGCCAACATTTGTTATTTGTGGATTTATTGATGATAGCCATTCTGACAGGTATGAGGTGATCTTACCTTTTGTGATAGTATGGATGGACCTGGAGAGTATTGTGCTAAGTGAAATAAGCCACTCAGAGAAAGACAAGTACCATATGATTTCACTTACATGTGGAATCCAAAGAACAAAATTAACAAAGTAGAAACAGACTCCTAGTTGTCAGAGGTGGGCAAGGGTAGAGGGGCTGGGTGAAAAAGGTGAAGGGATTAAGGAAAAAAAACCAACCCACACAAAGACCTCATAGACAGACAATAGTATAGTCATTACCAGAGGGAAATGAGGGTGGGGGAAGGCAGGAAAGGGTATATGGTGATGAAAGAGACATGATTTGGGGTAGTGAACACA